AATTTGAAAATCTACACAATCAATAAAAAGTTGTGGGACTAAGTGACTTGCATCATATGTATGATTTGCATTTTCATGCAGAAAAAAATCATACATACATACATTATTATATTAATTTAATAAAAATGTACGTATGTGTGATCTGCATTTTCATACATGTATGGAATAAAAATCATACGTTACATACTAATACATAGGGAGGGGTTCATCATTACATGTTTTCGTAACACCGAATTGATTGGCTTATTTTCGTACACATAACTCAATTTCCAGGATCAGTTTATTGATATACCAAAAAAATAATATATTACATGATAAAAGTACAAAATTAATCTTGTAGTGGTGAGCGTTTTGAGATGCATGTGAAATAGTCTTTCGTACAAATTTGGTATAAATACATATCTTTGAAAATAAAGGAGTAGTGGTAATTTGAAGCATATAACCAATCAATATATTTGATTTTCTTAGAATCTCATATATGCACCCCAAGAGTTTTTGTGTATTAGTATATTCTAAATTTGTTTGGTGGGTGTTGAGTATTATATGTACTTTATAACCTTTCATTATTATTATTTAGTAGTGATGTGAGCTGGCAAAGGTAATAAAGAAATTTTTTCTCTTAGCATTCTTGGCATAGATACTTGGCTGACTCGTGATAACAAAAAAAATTACATTTGCTCAAAAAAAAATTTACAATACTTGTAATAGGATAAAAAAAAACAATGTAATAGAGTTCTATCCATAGTACAAAGATCTTATCGTAATACAACTCAATCTTAATTCATTCGAATTCAAATTATTCATTTTCCAGTTATTTGGATTATTCATTTTATTCGTATTTTATTTTTTTATTTTTATTTTTTATTATTTATTTATTAATATTAATAAACTTTCAATGTAATTCGAATACCCAAAATTCATAATGAATGAATCAGGGCTGGTAGCGTAAAGGTATTAACATATAACTAAACGGTTTAGTTAGTTTAGCCAAGCACTTGTTTAGAGTCACGACCACCCCTAGAATAAACCTTATTCGAATATTGACCCTAGTAACAATGAACTATTAATAGTAATAATGGCACGAGTTAAGAGATAATAATAACAATAGTAGTAAATCATAGTAATAATAATAATACTGCCAAGCTTAGTAATAACCGAGACCGACTGGGGATTTGCTTATAGAAATAGACAGTAAAATAATAACCAATTTTTAGTGAATTCATAAAAGGTATGTTATTTAGTAAATTATTTGATAAAAAAGTTAGCCAAGTTCATAGCCGGCTAAAATTTTCTGCCGGCTTACATCGCTATATTTAGTACTGAGGCGCAAATATACAGAATACAGAGGCTGTACATACCAGGGTTGGTAAATTGACTGGTCTATCGACTTTGGACCAGCCATTACCATTAATTAAATACTAATTATGGTTAAAATGTTACACCAATGGACCAAATGAATCACCAATGGATCCATACTATTACTATTATTTTATTTTTATCTTTGATTTACAGATTTAACGGATATTTCATGTTAATATTAATGTTAATAACTTGCTTTTACGGATGAATTTTTTGGAACGAATTGTGTAATCGCCTATTGGTTTTGAAATGTCCAAATTATAATACAGTACACCTAAAAGTAGTTCCTAAGCTAAAATCAACCCTTGTAAATAATTGCATATAAAGATGTTATTAATTCAAAATCGAGATTTTTCTGTTAGTATTAGGGCTGTTTCTATTTTCCGCGCTCGAATTAGTTTTAGTCATGCATAATTCATTTTATTTCTTAAAAAAGTATAATAATAATATTACATTACATTACGTATATAATAATAATAAAGAAGTATTACATTATTATTTATAAATAAAAGTTTAAATAAATTAATTTAAAAGATAATAATTAATAGAACAATAAAAATGTCAATTTGATTTAACTGTAATCACCAGGGACGACATATGGACATCCTTTAGTACTGTCATTAGTATCACATTTGCTTGAATCAGTACAACAACGGATACAGAAACGTTGATCTGCTGGTTCGATTATGTTTACAAATTTATCAAAACCCACACATGTTGCACCTGCTGGAGCTCCTACACTATCATATTGACCACCTTGATCATCATGATGCAATTGGTATGCGTCTGGATTTATTTTACCCGTATATTGAACGTATCCATCATCAGCTTTGAAATGTGCTGTTGCAATAAGTCCGCCAGGAATAATATTGACCGAACCTTGTAGTCCTGGTGGGGTACTTGTATTACAGAATGGTATAGCATCGTTTTCGTGATCAGCAATATACCCTCCTGGTGCAGGAGGAAGGTAAGTGCAGATGGTGTTATTGTCTAATATAATTTCGTTCCCAGGTGAAGAATCAACAGGAATTGCATTAGTGAATAATGTAACACTTGCGAGGACCAAGAAGATAATTGATGATTTAGATGATTTGACCATTTTCGTATTTTTATAATTTGATATTTAGTTTTTTTTTTTTGCTGATAACTATTATTATTATTATTGTCTGTTATTATTTTGTACTGATAATTATTAGCGAAGAAACTTTTTTTTTGAGCGAATTTGAAGCCTATATATATACAATTAATTTTGCAGAAACATGAGTTACTAATCCGGTAATTTAGCTCGTAGCATGTATTTAATCTGCCAACTTAATAATCTATTTATAGAGCAAATGAACGATTTTATTTTTTGGTAATAATAAATTTAATGGATTTTCTGAAGCATGAATTCATTGTTTTTGTATTTTTAAGAAAAGACAGCTGTTAATTCGAATGAATTATTTATTTTTAATTCTTTTAAAAAAAATTTTTTTTTTCTAAAAACGGATCCCATAAATTATACGGGCAATGAAAATACCTGATGACTTCATATTATTTAGATTTTCATTTCATAGAATTACACCCATTTTTAACAATCACACAAATTGTATTGATTATAATCATAGTGAGCCGCAAAAATTAAAATTTGTTTTTGTGTTAAAAAAAAATTATCGACTTTTTTAAAACGTGATGATAATATTTGGAAAAATGCAGTTATATAACATTAATATTAAGTAATTTTGAAAGTAAGAATACCCTTTTATGTCTACTTGGTTTAAAATCATAAGAACGTATTGGATGGGGGAGCATCATTATATATATTAATATTATTACAATCAAATCTCATTTCAACGAATCTATAAAATAATAATAAGAAATTGCATATGTTTTATAATTTAATGATGGCTGTGTAACATAAATGAGTGACTAAACTATTTTAGTCATTACAGCATTATGTCAAAGTCAAGTCTAGGATTTCTATTCGTAATACAATAAAACTTAATTCGAATTATTCGTTTTATTCGAATTACTCGTTACGAAATATAGATCATATTTCTTTAATAAGGTAATATAATCATATCTATAATCTATATTACTACTACTACGGTTGCTAGTAATTTGACTTAAGAAAAGAAAAGAAAAGAAAGATGTCAGCTGTTACTATTTATTATCATTATCACTATATACAAAGACTAAGGAAAAATAGATTGATAAAGAAAAAAAATTTTAATTAGCAATGCGTATATTTTATTTTATTTTATTTGAATTATAAGTTTTATTAGAATAAACTTTCAATGTAATTCGAATACTCGAATAGAAACTCTAGTTTAGTCAAGATAATTATTATCAAATTAGGATTTTGACTCCTTCACGCGGCTTTCTCTGATTGTAGTATTGAAATCTTCAAATTTATCAAAGCTATCGTCTTATCCTAGATGGTTCTTCCAACCGACCTACCACAAATCAAATTCAAAACTCATATTCGTGTAACATTTAGTATTTTATTAATAGCAATGGACCAGACCCAAATTAGTTGGTCTCGATGGACTCTACACTTTTAGTATAACGATCGGCTAAAAAATGGATTGGGGTTTTTTTTGGGTTAGGGAGGTTTACGTAGTTCTATAACAAAGAATTTTTTGAATTGTTTATTAACTTTAACGTAAATATCAATGTAATATAATGTTAGGTGCTAGACCATTAGTAGATCTTTCTAACATTACAATAAAAACCTACAATATAAAAAATTATTAATCAAATAAAATCAGTTGAGAATATTTTGAATAAATAAAATTCATAATGAAAATCGGCAGAGAATATTTTAAATGATAAATAAAACTTGTGATAAATCATCGAGAGCATGAAATTCATGATAAATAAACAAACTCACGATAAAAATAATTCATTGTAGAAAAATACGTACTATGGCTAATAATAACAAATAAATGCAAATAATACAATGTTATCATATTTCTCCTTGGTTTAGATTTTTAGAATTATATAAATCAATTTTTATTAAAGTCAGGGGTATGAATTTTTTTATTTGCTATGGTGCAAGTGTTTTCAAAGATCGTCAAATACAGATTTTATCCAAATATATTAATTATTCCATTATATTAAAAATACTTGAAACT